TGATTTTTTAATATAATAATATAATACTTATTTAAACGTAATAAAAAAAAAAAAAGACAAGTAGTATAAGATATCAATATCACAAATTCTAGAAATAAATTAGAAATAATCGTAATTAGTCTAATGGCCGATATCTGACGCATGCACGTGTATTGTGAACGATGTTTACGTTAACGTTGCTCGTATGAGTGGAGCCTAAAAGCTGGAGTATATTAGCACGTCATATCATTCGCGTCCGAAAGTGTCAAGTGCATACGCGCGGCCTTGCGTGAAAATTCCCAATGTTTTAAACAATAACCAACTGCACACTGATTATGCGTTAAATTGCCGGTCGCGAGCGTACGATCACTGGGAACTTTCGAAAAATGTCCGTTCGCCTATTCGCGGACGAATTTAATGCTCGCTCTGGAATGGATTACGAGCAATTAATGGACTCGCTATCGTTCCGCGAGCTTTGCTTTCCATCGTCAAATAACGATTTTATGTCTTACAATTTCATCATTAATCCCTCTATAATAACTCCTACATTTGTATTTTTTATATACTATTTTATAGTTCATATTAATCTCTATTGATATAATTGTAATAAAACTTAATATTAATTTCACATTCAATTTGTTTTATTTTCCAATTTTTTTGTTTTTTTTTTTAGATTTTCACAACATTTCTCAACCTTTGATACGCGTTAAAGTTTTAATAGGTCGCAACATGATAGTTAATATCAACTAAGGAAGATGATTCATTTTTAAGAAATTTCTAAACAGTTTTATCCAGTATCTTTAAAATAATAATTAGTATATTAAATTTTAAAAACATTAAGACTGGGATATCATTAAAAACCTATGTGTTAGATTTCATAAAAAAAAGTTTGAGAAATGCATCAGAGATGCATGTATTAGATTTTAGAACAATCCAATCTTTTCTCTCTTTCTCTATTTCTTTCTTTATTTTTTTTCTGTGAGGGTGTCAAGCGCACACCTCGACCACCGAATGAAAATTCGAAAAGCAGTTTAGGTAAATCAATCCGGCCGCGGGGTCAACGATTTTACTTGGCACACGGCTCAAGGCAGAACGCGTATAATAAAGTGGCGGATGGGATTGAGCGGTGGCACGAAGGGTACCCGCTAGGTACTGGGGGATGAGAGGGTGGTGGTAGTCTGAGAGATGAAGGGAGAGGGTGTATGCCAGAGAAGGTTCGTGAACTGGGGGGGAGGGGGGAAGGGGAAGGCTTGAATTTCAGGTCTCGTGTGCGTTTGACGTTGGCCCGTTGAACGGTTCCGTAATGCATGGTCTTTAGCGTACGAAAATAAGGGTGACTCTTCTCTTCTTATTTCCACTTCATCTTCTTTCTTCCTCCTTCATCTCTCCGTTAACGCACATTTACTTACTTATATATATATACACACACACGCGCACATTCATACACAGACATAGAGAATTTATTCTACTTCTTTCTGCGTTCCAATTCTCCCCCGTTCGTTCGTTCGATGTCTTTATCGACGAGAGGAGGAGAGCTTTAGGAGAATAAAAAAACAGAGAAGGATTTAAATCGATGATAGGAAAGAGGAGAGAGAGAGAGAGAGAGAAAGCTCGGTCATCCGTGCGAACACCCTTCGCGCTTTATTGAAAAGTCCAGCCGGAAAGAGGCGGTCCTTGTTTGTGTGGGACGAATGAATTTTAATATCGTTCGACGTCACGAATTATTAATATCACCGAGAGATACCCACCTACTTTATATTTTCTTCCTAAAGCTTTCTCTCTTTCTCTTTTCTATCTTTCTTTTTTATCTTATTTAAAGCGCGATTGACATTAATGAGAATTCCGTTTTATTAATCGTTTCAGGTGAAAATCTGGTTCCAAAATAGACGAATGAAATGGCGTAATAGTAAAGAAAGGGAGCTTTTAGCTACAGGAGGTTCCCGCGAACAAACTTTGCCAAACAAGAACAATCCCAATCCAGATTTGAGTGATGCCGATGGCGACAGACCAAGGATGGACTTAAGCGACGTGAGTCCTTTGACGAGTCCTCAGAGACCGGAAGAACAAACTGAAAATGAGGAGGACGAGGAAATCAACGTCACGTGATAAGACTCCGATGAAGGATTTATTATCGGTTGAAACGTTAAAACTAACTAATGGAACGTGGAGAATCTGAATTTTTTACTTCAATTGTCTCAATCGTAAGAAACTGGAACGAAGCAACGGACTCTTTTTTTTTTTCATACCTTTCTCTTTTTCTCCCTCAACGTTTAAAATTAACATATTTTTTTAAGGGATTAATACGGCTTGTCAAAACTTTCAACAATTTTTGAAAGAAAGTATCCCTTAACGCGTAATATTGTAAAACCGGTTAAATATCGATCTTTTTAATGTACGAATTTGTAAATAGCTACGTATTTATTAAAAGTAATTAAAATGTTTTTTTTCGGTATCTATTGTTGTTTTTTTTTCTTTTTTTTTTTTTTATCAGGTACTATACTTTAAGCAGATTTAAAAATAGGATTTCAAGGATCAACATTTTACTGAACGTTGTGTATAGAGTGAAAAGAAGATTCTTATTTATCGCTTAATCGTACCTCAAAATCCATCGTCGGAAGTTAATCGAGCTTTGAATGGCTCGAAAAAAATGTATCATATTGTAATTAGTTAATAAATGTAACTTTGCGAAATATTCTATTGACATATAAGGTTGTAATAGATGTAACATTAACGATTCCTAAGATATGTAACTACGTTTCGGTCACGACGATTCTTTCCTATTAAAAATTTAAATTAGAAATTAATTAATTTCGTTGGAAACGACGTGGTCGATTGCTAAATTTAATTATATCGCACAAGAGGTAAAACGAAAAAAAAAGAAAACCAAATGTAATTACTCATTGTGATGCATTATAATGTATGTAATATACAAATAAAACTATCTATATCAAGAGATTCTACATTTGTATTACAAGAGAACATGAACATTGATTGTCGTTGTTTTTGATTTCCTTTTAAGTGCAATATTAAAAAAAAGATTATATTTAATAACGATACTATTTTGGTTTAATTTATTTATTTTCAATTTAATAAAATAAATTTTCAAAAGCACGAGAGAGAGAGAGAGAGAGAGAAAGATAAAGTGATAATATAATATATTTAATTTTTATACGATGTGTTTTCTCATTGATTGATATCAAAGTAGACTCAAGATCATCCGAAATATTCTATGTATCTATGAAGATAAATTATCGACAGAATAAACACGCGTTGATAATACAGAAAACTGTTGTAAGAAAAATAAAAGATAATAGTTAACTTTTTCAATGTTCATTATTAAATTATTCATGAATTATAAAATAACAATTTATTCCCATAATGTTTAATTAAATAAAAAAAAGAAAAAAAAAATTCGTGAATCGCAGCGATCTTCAGATAATGACGTCTGGACAATTAATATTATTTGCGATGAATTAGTATGACCGTAAGAACGCTAGCAAGGAACCTTAACAGTAAAAAAAAAAATGAAAAAGTGCTCTTATTTGCTCACTATTTGTTTAACTTTATTAAATCAAATATTTTTTATTTAACGTTAATTAGTTGAAAATAATTATTACACTTTGAATAATTATGAAATGGCGACGTCATGAGTGGGATATATGTTATACGCATGCGCAACCACAAATTAAAGGCGCAAGCACACTTGGAAAAAAATGAAAGTAAAGTTGGTATACCTGCAGGGGATATATTTAAAGTTGATTTCCAAAGTAACTACCGATAAGGTAGTGAAAAGAAATAAGTTAATCGTTCATAATGTATAAACAATAGGTAAATATTTTCATTTTTTTCTGCTGTTACGGTTATACGCCTGCGTTCTTACGGTGCTACAATCTTCTTCAATTATTTCTTTAGTATATCGATAACATAGAACGTGATTTAATGAACAAAGCAAAATACATCAAAAGGAGTCAGAAAATTTTTGAGTTGTAACGGCCATCCTCCTTGTACTGCGTTTCAACAGCATGGCGCTTGAAGAAAATAAAAATAAATATTCTAACATAGAGTATGTACGTACGAATATGCTTTGGATGGACATAAAGATTGTTGATCCTGAAATGGAAACCTTAATGAAACAAATTAATGAGGAGCAAACAAAATTAAAGGAAGCACTGCGTGAGAAACTGTATTTAATAAGATTTGATACTGATTTTGTACAGAAAGAAAATGAACAATTAAAAGATTGGTTAAGCTTTAAAGGAATACAATTTGAGGTAAAGAAGGAGCATTCAAGCATTGATGCACCAAATGAAATTCTTATAAAGGAGGAACTAATACATAATGTAACAAATGCGAATGAACACCACGTAGAAAAGTTTAATGATCAAATTTCAGAAAAATTTAGTCATATAGAGAAAAGTAATAATAAATCAGCTCAAGAGATAACGGATACCAAAGAAGAAACTAATAGATTGAAGAGTTGCTACGTAAAGCTAAATAAAAAGGAAAGTAAAGATTATAAAGAAAGTAAAGATGACAGTTTGAAGAAAGATAGTCAAAATATGAATATAAAGGTTGATGTTTCCAATGTTAATAATCAAAATAAAGATGAAGAATCTGCTATTGCAAAAAGAACACGTAAAAGTACACAAGTAAACATATCGGTTGAAAATATTTGGTTGAGCGAAAAGAAATCTAAACATGGTATGGAAAGACTTAGACTTGTTAAAAATTATAAAACGACTAATAAAAGGAAAAAAAATACCAAAAGGAAGATAGAAGGAGTACAAAATAAAGAGGATATTGATATTCTAGATCAACCTTAAGGATTTTACTCTAATAAAGTTCTATAATAGAGTAATTTATAACACAAAAATACAGTTACATTACATATTTTAATGTAAGATTTATTTAAAGATGTATCTTATAATTATTTCTTATATACTACTTTATTTTGCTCTAACATAAAATTACAATTATGCTAATGTATTTAAAATTAAAATAATCTCATTATTTTCTTATGTTTTGGGTAATAATTTATTACTCTGACCAATGAAGATGTTTGGATTAATACATGCATACAAAGTATGAAATGCAGGGTATACAATGAAGATATTTACTTTTGGTACATGCACTTTTTGTATGGTCAAATCTAATATTGTATATAAGTGTTAAATTAGTAACAAATAGGAAACATAAATGCTATTGATAGTTGACACGAATTATATAAATTTTATTAAATAATGACATATTAAAAATTTATTGAATACAGTTTCTCAGGGCAGTAGATTTCATAAATGTGATGTAATTACATCAGGTACAAATTTAATGTGAAATATGCACCTGAGATATATTAAATTTAATTGTAAAGCATAGGAATAAAATGTTTTGAATATATATTCTAAACGAATACTCGCTTTATACACAAATTTAATATATATAATTTATTATATATATATTAATATACTAAAATATTGTACACAGGTATGTTTTGTCTCTCTTTCCTGGATTCATGTTTGCAGTAATCAGAAAACGTATGTATTCGTAACTATTTGTATTCAGGTCATTATCATAAAAACATTACATTTTTTCTTTAGATGATATTAATAACATATTTATCTCATGTAGACGGATGAAACTTACAATTAGCATAGTTTTGATTAAAATAATTATGTATAGATATTTACAGAAAAGGGAGAAATTTTTAACGCATGAATATATCTGCCTAATTAAAAAATCTCTTTGTCTAAGCTATGTTTTAGATTTAATATTAGTTTTGTCGCTTGTGTAGAAGATGATTTATTAATAAATATAATAAAATTTACGAGTGTAATTTCTTATATCAAATTACTTGTTTTGTTTTTTTTTTCTTTTTTATTACAAATAATGTCTTATATCCGTTTTATAGCATAAGGCAATTTATTATAAACGAATTTGATTATTATTACCAATTTTCACTGTGATTTATACAATTTTTTGAGCTCTTCTAGTTTCTCCTTGCTTGCAACAATAGATTGTGTTTTCTGATGTGACAAACTGCTGCTATCGTTGGTATTTAAAAAAATTTCCTCGGTGGAAATTCGTTTCAATGGCACTTCACTCTTGGAGGACTTCGACATTTCTTTATTCCACTTCATCAACCAATCGCTGGAGGTATCCTAGAATATGCAGAATTTAATTATAGAGTAATTGTAAAAACAAATAGATATATTAGAAAAAAGTAATGTTAATATTTGCACGAAATTAAAAAATTGCACCAACTTTACTTAAAGCAACGTTTCTTTAGATTCGTGTAATCGATAATCAGCTTATATTTAATTAGTGTTACACAGAAGGAAAAAAAATAAAATTGCATCACTTTCGTTAATCCTTAAGGAGTATCGAAGTTTTGTTACTTCTTTTAAAAATTATTTACATTTTTAGTATCTTTTTTTTCAACTATTCTCGTTGTTTCCTCAAGTTTTTTAAGCTTTTCTAATTCTTCATGTATCCTACGTTCAGTTTGATATTTTGCTATAGCTTGTGCCAAAGGGCCTAATTCTCCCTTCATCGCAGCCATGTACATCGCCTGTTAAAAAAAAAGAAAACAACATATGTAATTAAAAAATTCGATTTACAAATTTTATGGTATTATTTAATCACTTTTGACGGTAATTTATGACAATGGATTGTAAGTGAGAGAATTTATAATTTATTTGATATTATATAATTATTAATATTATCATATAAATCGTAAAATCAATTTTTTGTTAACTTGTATAATCACCACTATATTTATCAAAATATTTCTTACGTCTCTTCGTTTTTTGGAATCGTTGGTACCGATCGGATCAGTATCAGATTGAGGTCCCAATTCAAGAAGAACTTGAAAATCAGCATGTTCACCAAGCCGGAAACCAATGCCTAGTCTCGAGTCCGTTCCTTGTCATTAGAAATAAAGTAGTAACATTAGATATAAATTAGCGAGGATACGTAATAACAGATTAGAAATTGTATATTCTTGTCTTTGACATATGATTAGAATTACGTGTAGTAGGTGAAAGTATTGGTTCAATTCACGATTGAATATGAAATTAACGGACATGTTTCCGTATTTACTTACCTTTCTTTATCGGTGGTATGTTAGAATAAATTAGCGAAAGTATCGTAGGAAGTTCTTCCGGTATAATCAGACTCGTTGCATCTGAAAAGATTTTCTTTCACTTGTGGAGTTCCATATATGGTTCAAAACGTAAGGTGGATACTTGTTGAGATTAAAAAAAGAAAGAGAGAAAGAGGGATACACTTTACTTTAAGAGTTGTTACTCTAGTCTTACGTTACACTATTCACTATCGTTACATCACACAGAATAGAAATTACAAGCGTTGATCTTATCACCTTTCAGCCGGTGCTACGAGAGAAGAATTAATAAAAATAATGGTACACAGAAACGATTTGTAATCCTTTGATCTTTCTGTATGATTTAATTCATTGATTTCATAAGCTTCTTTTTTCTATCTTTTTTGTTTTTTTTAAATAATCACGAGATAAGTTATTCAAAAGAAAAAATAGTGCACATTGGTATGCTTTGATGGTCGTAATTTTTTTTTTACATTATGATCAAAGCAATAAAGTTTTTTTTTTGTATTGCATTTGCAACGGAGTAATAAATAGCACTTACAATTGGATAGGATGATTACAATGCTCAGTCTTATGATCGAGATCTTTGCGAATGTAGCCATCGCCTAAAACGTTTGATCTTTTAAATATATTTTTAGATATTCAATAGATGCATAATTCCATTTTTCTCGATCACTGAAAATGAAAATTTCAATTATAACGAATATACTTTCCGAACATTTGTTCTAATGAATGAAAGTTTATTTACTAGTTTGACAATTATTTTGGATCGATAGATAAATATCTTTTATTAATCGTAGAGATTAACATAATTTCAATCTAAACTTGCGTAAATCATAAATCAAATCACTGATTGATCTAAAATTTCTATTATTGATATTAGCATATTTCGCAAACTCGAAACGGGTCAAGGTGTTTTTGTAAAATGTAAATATTAAAAATTTGTAAATGTTCTACTTTAAAAGGACGCATAAATTAACACATTTACGATGTTCACAGAATTTATTCAAATGAAGCAATGGTATTTCTTAACACAGCTTTCACTAACTAATTGCACTCAAATGACTTTTCCTTTGGATACTTTCTCACTTCGTTAACAAATTAAGTTACATACATATATATTATATAAATCTTTGAAAGATTAATTTTTCGATCGCACAAGATCTTTTATATTTATTTTGTTGTTTATGTAAAATTTAAATAGGACAGATCGATGGAAACAAGCGTTTTGAAGACCACAGAAATGATCATTTGCAAACGAATCATTTTCGGGTTCGAACGTTCATGCAATCTGTAATGATTGAACTTACGTGAAAGTGAAATGTAAAAGCTAGAGAGACCGTAGCACAGCGTACCAGTGTAAACTAAGTTACAGACTGAATCGTTACAGAATATGCAGGTAAGTTCTTCGACATCGTTAAGTGTCCGAGAAGAAGTTTTAAAGTGAAAGGACGGACGTGGATCGGGGATTGAGGTCAACAACAGAAGAACCACTCGATATTGACGTCTTAAACTCTCTTTCTTCTATATTTGACCCTTCGAAGCGGTTGCTATCTATTAAATATTAATTATCTTTTTTTTTTTTAATATATTTATATAATTTTATATATGTTATTTATATATCAATCTTTTGACATCTATATAGAGATGTGTCGTCATAATAGAATAATTAAATATATAATTGTATGCTTAAAGATATATATATATATATTATTTTTTAGCATGTATTTTAAATTGTATGTTGATTCTTATGACATATATAAAAATACGTCCTGTAATTGATAATACAAGCTGACAGCGAGTAATTATTAAGTTTGTTTTAATTAAGTACACACGTATTTGATAAATTTTCAAACTTATATTTTTTACCAACAAAAATTTTATTCTACATTTTCGATTTACTTTTTCGTTTTATACTTCTCGTTTGTATCATCAGTTACAGGACATCCTGTATATTTTACGTATATGTATATTTACATGTTATATTAATTAAATATTTAAGAAAGTAATTTTTATAAAATAATATTTAAATGGATAAAAAATTAAACATTTATATATTACATAAATATAGATATTAATGAAATGTATTTATGTACATTCTTGCAAGTTTTATAATACAATGAAATAAAAGTCTAATAAAAAAATAATTCAATTATAGTTACATAGCCTCGTTCCAGTGATCTTTGCATCGATCTTGATAAACTGGATGTTCTTGAGGAATACCATAGTTTTTATTTATAATTTTATACGATGATCTTTAGTTTTTTCTATTTTATTTAGATCATGTTTGTTATTAAAAATATTCAAAGATCCGTGCATCATTAAATATTATTTTAATAAAATGTTTGTGTACATACATTCGCATTCGCGAAGTTTCTTCCTCTCTTTCTTTTTAACTCACGCGATTTTTTTTCTACTCGGATGAAGAAAAACGGAAAGAATAATGGAAAGCGTAGAGAGTAATCATATTATCAAGAATTGAACGATCTCTCTTTCTCTTTATTTTTGCTAAAAAGGCTCGATTAAATCAACGAATGAGAATTGAAAAGTGAAACCAGCAAATACTTTAAATTGAATGCTTTCTCATTCGTAAACAATCAAAGTTAATATAAAGTGTGGGAATATAAAATTCATTATAATTAATTATTAAAAGGATCAATCAGAAGAATGCGACAATGATTCTCAACGCGTATAACAAATACAATGCAAAAGAAAAAAAAGAAAAATAATACCAAAGAAGAATAATCAAAGAAATGAAACGACATTTAATATTTAGTTCGTCTAACGCGTAAAATTTTCAATGTAGAAAAAAGTGTATACGAAAGCAACCATACTTGCTTCGCATTATCAACGATAACACGTGCTCTCCTCGTTAGTTACACACATGCACATATAAACGTATACATACGCATATACATATATATATATATAAATCTACGCGTGGCATTGTGCTCCGTGCGGTTAGAAGCATAAACAATACATGCATAGTTTTACACGCAGACACAAATGAAAATGATACACGTACTAATGACAAAAGTGTTACGTCGTATCGTTCTCTGATATTTATATGTGTGTGTGCCTGTCTGTCTGTATGTGCATATGTGTGTATGTGGATAAAGACGGAAAAGGATAGATAGGCGCGAAGGTGCACGGAAGTTCGAAGAGGGGACCACACGAATGTAACGTGCAATACGTTTTTCTCTTTCTCTCTCTCTTTCACCGTCTGTAAATACTTACGGTACGTCGTGTTGTACGGTACACGTTGCATTTGTCTCTACGTCTTTTTTATTTCGTCGAGGAGGATCGACGAAGGACGCTTGTTCGACGTCGATCAATTCGTTCGTTTTGATTGGTCAAATTACAGACGTATTACTTACGTCGCACATACATACTACTTACATAGGAAAAAAACTTTGTTCTCTTTTAGTGCATTATAATGCATCTCACAACGATTAAACGATAGAAAACGTGTCAGTGTAATAATGGGATTTAATCTTTGTACGGATGAGTCCCATAGAAGAAGGTAATTATATGAAAAAAAAAAAAAAAGGAGAAAAGATTTATCGATAGATAGATTGATCATTTTCTAAAGAGTGACGAGTGTTCGTGAAAAAAAAAAAAAAAACAAAAAAATAGTTCATGCTTACGGTTTGTCACGCGGAAGTTGGTTTTGAACAATGATTAGCACTGTGAAATATCGTTATGTTTTGTATTAAAAGTGGAATGACGTGTGTATAATAGTTGAGTACGTTATTTATGTAACATGTACGTGTATCGTTGTAATAATTGAAGTTTTTTCTTTAAGTGTTCTTTATTCGATATGTGAATAATTTGTATTATTTTCTTCTTTTTTTTTCTTTTTTTTCGTTATTATCTATTCGTAATTTAATTAAGATTCAGGTGTGTGTCCATGCGATAGTGTCTGATTCATCGTTTTATAAATACTTCGTTAGAAAAATGTGAAAATCCTTGACGATTGTTCGTCATTTAAAATCAAGGAATGATAGAATCGATTTGATCGTTTTTCTAATCGATTTCGTACAAAGGATACAAAGAACGATACGGATTATGAAGGAATTCGCGAAACTTTGGTGACACAAGTGTTCTCCACTTGTTGCCAGTTCTTCTTTATATATTTCTTTTTTCTTTTTTTTTCTTTATCGTTTCTTCTTCTTATTGCGTTCCATCCTTCTTCTATATTTTCTTTTAAACTTACCGGCTACACTCGTTAGAGTTACGCGTAACTTCTACGAGTGTGGGATTAAATATATAAATATTAAACGTACTTTGTAAACTAGTGTAATTGGCCTGAAAAATAGGACAATTATATTAAACACATAATATACGTGAATATTATTTTTATCAGAAGAATATGATATAAGAAATTAAAACTAAAGAGTGAAGTGATAACGTACCGGAAATAATTTTGCGTGAGTTATTTGTATTTTTTTTTCATTTTAAACGACGCAAACAAACAAATTTTACGTGAAAATCCTACATCATATTTAAAAAAAAAAAACATATATAAAAATAATGACAAATAAATAAATTTATTTTATATTAAATATATCTAATAATATATTTATATGAATGAAACTCATATAAAAAATTTATATAATACAAATATTATATAATTATATAGTATATATATATATATGTATAAGAAATAGATTAAATTTCTAAGAAAATTTTCCTTGATCTTGATCTCTGTATTAAAGGACCTTGACCTGAGGATCGTAGTGAATGGTGGACGCCGGCCTGTTTGGCCCATGGGGCCGGATTATATTGATCGCCATTATTGCAACAGTTGTTCTCTTTGTTTTACTTATTGCCGCCTGCTTTTTAACACCTGGATGTATCGGTTACGAGTGTACAAGAAGATGTAGTAAGATATTTATATATACGTATATATACACACACATACACATACACAATATTTAGATTTATTAAATATTAAGTAAATATATATATGTAATATATACAGAGTGTTTCGTAATTTATAGGAGCTACTTCAGGTGTGAACAGGGGACATAAATTAATAAAAAAAATTCATTATAATATAATTTATATTATTTTTTATTTGCTGTCTATTAAAAGTTACAAGTGCGTAATTAGATTTTTATTTCTGAGGTTATTTGAAAACAATTCTGTTTTCGATATCCATTACCAGTATTGAAGAAATTCAAGCACGTACATAAGAAAGTTGTCAACAGACTTAACAAATATTTGGAATGTTTGAAAGAGTAGAATTCGATGATACAAGCAAGCTTTGATACAAACCAAGTGTGGTCATCTCAAGCACCTTTTATAAAGATAAAACTGTCACAGATTATTGGAACACAAAAGTCATTATAACTTTTAAACAGGATACATTTTTATAGGAATTTTTTTCTTCGTATTTGTGTTTTCTGTCCACGCCTGAATTAATTGTCGCGTATTACGAAATTTTATATACATAAAATATATGTAATATATGTCTACATAATTAATAATATTTGTAAATAATTTTATACTTAATTGGATCTATCGAGATAGCTACTTATTATTTATTATATTACGTTTTTAAAATATCTACAAAGGAATAGCGTACGATAAAGTCAAGACAAAGCTGATTACGCCTTCGTTTTATCACGGGATGAATAAGTATGTACGTAGTATACGTCATCGTTGTACTTTCCGTTTCCTTTGAACGATTACATAATTAACTATGCAACTCGACAAAAGTACGTATAACGAACAATATTTTTTGATAGACACATAGTTTTCAATTTATTAATATTATAATAGTGTGCATTTTTATATATACTTATGTATTTATTCGATGATATATTCTAACGAATAAAAATTTAAAATGTAATTCAAAGATGAATGATAAATTGTTTATTTGCAGAAAAAAAATCAACGAAAGTTCCTTCACGAAGCGGAGGACAAACTAATGAGAACGTAAAATTAAACGGTGTAAGTTACAGATCATGGAGATTGGGTAGTCTTTACGAAAATGATAACAATGGTAATGGTTTAATATTTTTTTAGTATATTTAAACACATCAGTTAATGGAATGTTTTAATTGAAATATATATTTATGCGTATAGGAACGATCAGTGAAAACGTTGAATTTCAAACTAATTCGGTCAATTCAATGTCTGGCCAATTTGAGAGCATCGAAACTTCTTCAATGGTGGTAAATTCAATCGCAATTAGATTTTAATCTATGTAATCATTTGAAAAAATATTTATTCATCATAATATTTTGTCCATAGAACCTTATTCAGATAGAAAAACGAAAGAGTGATAAAAAAGAGAAAATATTTCCTACGGAATTGACTTTGAGTTTACAATATTTGCCTCCTTGCGATGATATTACAGGAAAGTTCGTTGTTGGTATCGAGGTATTGATACAAAATGTTTTCGATAGTTTTAGATTCGGTAAATAATCGAGTATAAAAATGTAATATGAATGTAATTGGTTTTTGTAGGCGGTATCCAGTCTTCCACCGAAACAATACAATTGCACGATCGAGCCTTACGTAGCTTTAAATATTGTGAAGCAATCGTGGAGTCACAGGAAGCAAATGAAATTGCACAGTTTCAGAACAAGGGGCATCAGACATACGGCTAATCCGATTTACAGGGAAACTTTTGTGGTGGCCAATGCTAAACCGTACGAAGTTAAGGTATATTCATTTTATTGTTCTTTCTTTTTTTGCCGTTTGCTATATTCTCTCATAATGCATTACGCTTAAGGCATGTCATGAAAAAGGAAAAGAATAAAGAAAGCGGGAGAGAGAGAGAAAAAGAGTGATAAGCTGTGTTAGTAGTATAATCCTTTCACAGGTAACACACGTAGTTTCTTACTTTCTGTTTTTCGCACGAAATTTCAATGACAAACTTCGTTAGAATGCTAACGAAACACAAGACATTAAAAATAATGGACTTGGAGAGGTTTTGGAGAAGCGTTAAAACTCGTTTAAAAATTATTACCTTTGTTAGGCTTGACATTTATAAGTTAACTTGAATTGTAATGAAAATGTTTGCCAATGAAATCGAGCATACTTGAAATATTATACATATATTGCTTTGGACATTGCTCCTTTCGCTGACTCCTGAAAATCATTTGATCACACTTGTCTGTATAACAAGTTGCCAATCACAGGCACCCTTTGTTGCTCGCTTTAACATTCCTTCCGATTGGGAGGTTCATTATTTGTCGCTACTTTTGCATCGTTTTTTATTTTATTTTATTTTATTTTCAACAGGAATGGATTTTAGATATTATAGCATACGATCACGATAGGTACGCCAATCACACTGAATTGTGTTCATTAAAAATGGCAGTCAAGGATGTTAAAATAATATTTAAAAGTCCTGAAAAACATGTGTTCAATTATAGAATGAAACCGTCCTGTCAGGTATAATCATAAATTTTATTTTTTATTCTATATTTCATTTAGTATATTTTTATGAATTTTCAAAAGAATAATTTGATCTTGTAGGAATTTGGAAAAATTTTATTAGGTGTAAGCTATTTGCCTACGGCGCAGAGGTTGACAATTAACATAATGGAACTACGGAACATTAAAGCACTCAAATTTGTACCGAGTTTAAATGAATTCTGTAAGTTACGCTTCTCATTTGTTTCAGCAGGTAACTTTCTAAATGTCGATCGAGAAATTCTATCTTCTACGCTTTCCAGATCCATATGTAAGAGTATTGATGTTGAATGGAAAGACGGGGAAGAAATTGAAGAAGAGGAAAACGAGAACGCTACACGCTGTTGCTCAACCGGAATTCAATGAAACGTTGACTTTCGATGTGGCATATGATCAATTGGATTCCGTACAATTTTTAATTGTTTTATGCAGCAGGGCACGTATAATTGATGATCGAAATAACTTTCTGAATAAAACGAGACCGAGTAAGTTTAAACGTGATGATTTTCAGGTTTCGCTGAAAAATGAACCAACGAGTAATAACGAGAATCCGAGCGACAGCGAGGACTCTTCGGTAAATTCATATAAAAAGACCGATGATATATTTATTGGTAAGGTTGCGCTTGGAAAAGGAGTTAGGGGTTCTATTGAAAGATTACATTGGTTTTTGATTTTACAAAGTCCGAGAAAACTAGTCAATATTTGGCACACTTTGAAATAAAGGAGTTATTGTTATTAATTTTTAAGGAAGAGAGATATATCATTAACAGTTAAACAATATTTTATATATATATTGTTTAGCATAATTTATTATTAGTTTTATAAAAGAACACGTATTTATACTTTGTATATAGGTACGTATTTGTCAATATCCAAAGATTAAAATAAAAGTCGCACATTGACTAAATAATCCCAATAAGTTAAAAATAAAAATAAGAGAGAGAAAGAAAGAGAGAGAAAAGAATCAAATTTGGCGCCGATAAGAGAGCCGTCTGTGGTTGCAAAAGTGGTGGCGCGTCGATCGAGATCAATTCTACCGACAGAGGGCGACAAGAATGCATTGTGGCTTGCATCGCCAGTTGGCTCGGCGGCGGCGCGGTGGATGGTTGTTTTTCGTTTTGACAAGCGGGCTTTAGTCTGTTTTGTGACTGTGAGTGTGTGTCCCGTGTGTTCGATCTATTTCCTCGTTGTCGTCGTCGTCGTTTACTTTAATAATCATTGACATTTTTTTATCGGCTAAATTTCTCCTTTATCGGTATTCTCATTGGCATCGTTATCATTCCACCTGGTGTATGCAAGGACACACCTGTGCTAGCTGGATTCTGGCGATCGGTGGCGACAAAGTGTGCATCAAGAATTGAATCGTAAGTGTACACATGCAAAGTCTTAATTAATTGAAATAAATGTAACCTTTCTCTCTCTATCTCTCTCGCTCTTTCACATACTCGTATACAATGACCGTTACGTTAGAAACGTAACCTCGAAAGTCCCGCCTTCTTGGTTCTCCCTTACTATTTAAATTTTCTCTAACGTTATGAAACTACTGTTGTAACTAAGGAGACATAGGATACAAGAAAGAGATCCTTCTCTACTTTTTTTTTTTTTTTTTATGTCCACTTTTATTTCGAGCAAAGTTAACCAATCGTGTTGCGGACAGACATCTTTCTTTTGTTTTCTAGACAATCAAGTAGCGACGCGCTTTCTTTACCCTTTTTTAAAGCGACCAATCAAAAATGACAGGAACGCGTTTGATGGCGGGCGTTCGTTAACATCTCTTTCCACTTCGTTTCTCCTTTCGAATATCGACAGAATACTATTGTTAAACTTTACGGTTCGCTGATCATTCTGTTTGCCGATTATATGATTACTTCGTAGGATGCAAACTCGATACGATTAAAACGTGTACATTCGATATAAACAATGTTTCGTTATTTCTGTATCGGAAATTTAACTTACTTGGAAATAATTGTTATCGATGAACGCGTAGATAGATACGATCTCGAAAGATGACGTTTGATCGAATATCGAAAAAAGTGAGTCAACGATCTAGGAAAGGTATATTCTTTATTCGTCACCATTCTTAGAATAACTTGTCAAGTTTGAACGTTCAAACGTGAACCTGCATTTGTACGGTTAAATTAGATAATACACAAGGGGTGCATTGCAAATGGAATAGTTCCATGTTGAACCTATTTTTTGAACATCGTATTAATATGTCAATACAGGTTTTTTAGCGTAATATTTGTTAAATAATATAGAAATTTTATTTTTATAAAATATACTTACTTATTTTTATTATGTGTTTTTTTTTTATTAGATATATTGATTTAGCATTATAAGACCAGCATTAATATGCATGCTGAACTTAATCAGCTATACTAATGATTTACGTTGAATACATACAGTGACTCTTGAAAATATTTGGACACCAAAGTGTGATCAACAATGGTTTTATATTTTGATTCATTATAAATCAATTACTCTAATTATTGATTTTAATAATAGACCATGTATTAATTTTGTTGAACATATATTTATATATATATAACTTATTTTCTAAATGTATAAATTAATAATATAATCTATCACTGTATGTATGTATCGTTCATCCATAAAGGGTTAATGCATTTGTTTTCGCACCAGTCAAAGTACACATTCTAGAATGATTCCTTTATAATTATGGATTTATAGGTCGTAAATCATCCTTTGATCGGTTTTCTTTTTCTTCTTTAAATGAATTTATCAAAAGAACACGTGGAATAACTTTCAAACGTTTTCAACTCTCGAATTTCCAAATGCCGGCTCCCTCAGGTGATACTGGACCCCATTGGCTCGTTCGACTCGTTTGTCAAGTCTCATAATAGAAAAAAAATATATATATATATATATCAGCTACCTACTGCTAGTTGATTCTAGACAAGTCCAGGAACGTTCGAGAAGACGACTAACATAAGACTCACGTTTCTTAGTACCTTTTATCTGAACCAAAGTGAATTTATTATACGTGTTAGGAGATCGTCGTTTAAGTAAATGGTTAATCGACTTAATGAACTTTCTTGGAAAAGTGTATAAGAATGAGAAAAAAAAAAGAATCCTTTACTACTCATCAGCCTTGAAACTTAATAAGATCGCTTTCATAAGTTTTTTTAATTAATTTCACTAATTATCTTTTTGTAACTCGATAAACAATATAATATACTTTTTCTAATAAATCTATATATTAACGCGTTCTACCAATTTCTGACTCGAAGTTCAAATTATTCGTATAGAAGACTATGCATATATGCATATATATATTTATTATATAATACTTAATATTTGTATATATATATTAGTGTTTAAGGTAATACTTATTCCTTTTTATTTTGATCTAGAGTTAATTATTTCATAAAGTCTTTTTAGAGAATACTTCAGTGTGTAGAGAGTCAAGGACACTCTCTTTCTCTTTCATTCATTTTTTTTTGTTGAATCCATCATACACTGAGGTTAAAAGAGAGTGGCGTTAGCGCGAAATCGAGGACTTAACCGGGTTTGTGAAAGGCTATTAAGCCGCGTGTTGTGTTGTTGCGGTATACGTCTAGACGATTCGTCTGTTAAGAGCTGTGGTTTTCGTTGCACGTTCGACGAATGTGCGCTTCCAGTTTTGATAGGTTAGAAACCGAGATATAGATATATATATTTTCGAACAAACATTTTTCCTGACAAAAATCGTATTTTTTTGTTGTTTTTTTTTTATTTTATTTTATATAAATAAACTACATTTCCTTGCAACGCGACGTAGAAAAAAATATTATAATTACTGACTTTTTTAGCAATTGATCCAAATTTCTAGACATAAAAAAAGATTTTCTATAGATGCTACATCACGATTATAAAAATCACAAATTTTCTTATCAATCTGTGTCGAATTCTTCCCTTGATTTGTATTAAAATTTTCAAATTTATCGAACTTTTTTTGTTTATTAATTATCTTCACTAATTCGCAAGAAGCTATTAAATTTTTGACTGATTAAACAGATAATACACTTTTTTTTTTTTATTTTTCTTTAATTACTCTACGATATATATGGTAGCTTTCAAACGCATGCAAGTATTGCCAGATACTATATATATATCTATCTTATTTTATTTTAATAAAATATTTTGAAGAGTAGCTAACAGAGATCTCGCGTTTCTGCGTAAGATGAGAGAAGGAATATATAAGATTAAAATAATAGAACGTAGGTACGCGCGCATTGGTCAGGGAAAGTGGCAAACATGCTTATCGAGCGGCATGCGCTAGGAGGCAGTGGTTATACGTGCTTCGTTAATGCAGTACGCTCGAACAGAAGAAGAACGTCTGCTTTTGCTCGGAATACTAATGTAGACGCGAGTTGTAAAAGATAATTTTAGCCTAGAGGAGATACATAGAAAAGATTATATATTCTTCGACTAGAGAAACACCTTAAAACACGATCATCCTCGACGTGATCTTTGTTAACGCCCTCGAAAGATAATCGGTTTATATCATTTATTATCTTACAATTAATATTTCAGTCTTTTCAACGTACACCACAACGAGAAATTCGAATATTTTCGTTTTTTTTTACGATGATTAGGGATATAAAAGGAAATACGTTTTATTTTTTATATTTACATTTTCCATACATAATATAATTTAATATAGACATTAAAAATATTATATTATCATTTGTAACGCGAATATAATGAATGAGATACACAAGGAAATTCATTCTTTTTTTTTTTCTTTCTTTTATTCCTATTTCTAAACTATATAACATCCATATATATATGAACTAATAATTGCAAGTATTAAAAAAGATATTTCAAATAACCGTCTGAACTGTCACATGCATATGTGTACATACATAAATATGTGATATATGAGACAGTACAAAAAATATTATATGTATGCATAGACCCAAAGGAAAATTTGTATCGTCAATCTAGTAAATTTCCATTTTAATAAAATGATAGGACACGGGGAATAAATAGTTCGCAGGTGTTGGCGTGTTAACTAATGTAAGTAATATATTTGAACGACAATTAGAAACAAATAAAAGAGAGAGATAGATATTTGAATGCAGTTTAAAGACTCGAAAATGTGTATTAGAGACGCGCGCATATGGTGCCGCAGATGCGTTCGATCTGAGTCCAAAGGGGTTTTACAGCTCGAATGTACACATGTATGTGTGTGCGTGTGTGTGTGTACGTTCGAGTTCGTGTCAATCGAGTATAGGAGTATGCACTATACATATATTAAACGTTCGCATGATTTCAATCGTTTCACTTTTAATCGTTACCTTTTCAAAGTGGTTACATGTGATATTCGTGTTACTCATCGAGCTGCAGTTACTAAAAATAATCGTGCGATGATTTGAAAAGAGGAAAGAAGGAAAAATAAAAAGAAACGGAAAAGAGACGCGTAAATAAACACGTGTCATTTAAACGCGTCGAAACTTTACTGAAAGTTTACAGGACGGAGTCACTTTGTTACCATTGAATGTATGCTAGTTAACTGAAAGATAGCACGAGGGTGTTACTTAAGTGCCAGTAGTATAGTATATGTGTATGCTTGTGTATATATATCTATATATATATATATATATATTATATATATGTACTCTCAGTATGTCTCTCTTTCTCTTGGATGCTCATTCGTAATTAGCGTCAATAGGAGTCGTCGTGCATGGCTATTATCATCTATCTGCTATCAGTTAGGTAATTTGATCGCTGTTAGTCTATCGGTAAGATAATATTCTCGTTTGTCGCACCATTGTTAGTAGAAGAGTAGAACTTGATAATTTAGACCTGTTAGGATATATCCCTATCAAATAAGACTATTTTAATAATAATAATATTTACTTCTTGTCCTTTATTTATATTTATAAATTACTTCTTTGAATT